GACTTTGATAGCTGAAAGGAAAAACCCTAAGTGACAGCTAGAACAAGAGGTTGTTGTTAGAGTCACTGTAGGTTTCTGAAATGTTTGGGGACCTCTTTTGCTGTGCCTGTAAGTGGTTCTAAGGGAGTAATCAAGAGATCAATCCTTTGTTGCTACACAAGCAATTTGCTTTCTTGAGTTTATGTTCTTATTTGAACTTGCTGCCTCTGTGTGGCCCAGTGGTGGCTCTGAGGTGTGTAGTTCCTCCAGAGGACAACGATATCCAGTAAAAGAAGATCCCACAAAGAATCTGCAGAATGTCCCATCACGAAGACCGAGTGCTCTGAAGACTGGTGTTATCAAGATACAGGACACAGAAAAAAAAGTATATTCTGACAGATACTTTTCAGTGGCCTGCAAGTAGAGGAAGAGAGAGAAGAGATGGTTTATGACATGAGGGAATCCCACAGTGTCACAGAACCTAGGGATCCATAAGCTTATAAGAAAACATGACTTTGATCCAGCAACCCAAGTTTCAAGGAATATTTGTATATTCTCTAATCTCTAGCTCTTCAGGCTGCATTGGCAGTACTCTGTGTGTGTTGGTTTAAAGAGCTGCCTGATTATTAGCAGCTGTACCTGATTATGTGCCAATTAATACAAGAGCTCCCACAGAGTTAATATGAAGGTTTTCCTTTCCTTTGCTGTTCATTTTTATCTATGACTTTGAGAAAAATCTATTAATCACGCCATGCATGTTCTCCCTCTGTTAATACAGTCATTTATTATGCTTATTAGGCTGTTATAAATCCCAGGGAACTTTGACAGATCTTACTATTTTTGATAGGGGATTTATAAGAAACAGTTGGCAAATGGCTTGTAGGAACCAAATGTCCTGTCTCGAAACTACACGCCCCCAGAAGCACCAGCCACTTGTGTCTCATTCTCCACTGTGCCACTCAAAATGCCCCTCGGTCTCTCTGGGTTCCTCCATGTCCATCCTGGTGGACACTAATAACCACAGAGGCACATAATTGTGCTGACTGGGAACTGAATCCAGAGACAGATGGATCAGCTGCAGGGAGGGAAGGCCTAGGGTTGTCTCCAGGTCACAGAAGAGGACCAGAAGCTGCAATCCTTGGCAGGGCAGGACACCCTGGCACCAGAACCAGGCAGCCACCACGGCCACCTCCAATAAGGTTTCAGGAGACACATCCTGCACACCCTAGCAGCTCCCTGCTCCTGCCTCAAAACAAACTCAAACCCTTTGGCTGCAGTTTTTCAAAAGCTCCCCAAAAAGGCCTCTGATCTTGAGCTGTCTTAGCTTGGGTCAGTCTGCTGCTTTTGAAAACTCTTCTTATTGTCTGTAGTGTACTTTGTATAAAACAATAATGTATAAATATTCTGGGAATTAATGCTCTCTATCTCATAGTGACTGCATAATACAATGAGAAATATCACCTAGAAATAACCACTGATTTACAATTGTAAACTATTTATTCTCAGCCAGCTGTCTTGTGATAGGAGCTGCTCCGTATTTAGAAGCATTTCTCTGTGTCTTCTCTCAGTTTGGGGGACTTTTATGGTGTCTTTTGCAAAGGTCTTTTACCAGGGCAGTGATTTGCAGTTCACATAAGCCACCAGGCTCCTGCATTATGACCTTATGTTATAGATAATACAATTTACGATGCTGAATACAGCATGGTTCTGTGAAATAGGATGGAAAGTTTTGCTGGCCTATGACGTTGATTTGCTTCTCTTGAAGCATAAATAAGTTTATTTTGTCATCTCCTAAAGATCAGCCATACCCTCTGCAGCACACCCCCCCTCCAGTGTATTTGCTGTTAATCCCAGGGTTATTAATCTGTTTTGTCATAGCAGCCATGGCTCAGAACCTGAGCAGAAAAAAGCAAGTGTTAAACTTAATGCCCGTCGAGCAAGATGTTTGTTTTTACATGTGACACACCCATGGTTGGCTGTTTCCAAATGTGGCATTAGTCAATGAAGTATAAAATACAGCCAGACTACACAAATCAAAAATAATAACGTTTTTGCAAGATGCACTGTCCCTACAACTGAATATATTAGTGTTATTAATAAAACCTCACATTAATGCAAAGCTGTGCTGTCACCTGCCACAGAACAACCATGTGTATGAATCCACTGGTTATTACATTACAAGGATGCCTGGAGCCTTATGCTGACATTAAGTGAAGCAAGTATGGGATTTAATGCATTTAACTAAGTGAAAAAAAAATTTAAAAAATCATACCTTTAATTTAATATATGCACGTTCTTCACCGTGGCAATTACCCACAAGTCCACAAAGAAGAGGCAGGGCTTCAGGCGATCAGAGAGTTTATTCAGGATTATTCTTACGGATGATAGCACTTTGTGGTTTCCAAAACAAGCTTGTTCATTACATTGCTTTCTGCTAACTGAATTTCTGCAAGACACCCCTTTCAGGTATTTCTGAGGGCATCTTTGAACCATGAAAAATACCAGAAAACCAACACAAGACTGATTTCAGCTTCATAGAATAAGCAAATATGCAAAAAGTGCATTTTGTTCTGACACTGTATGCAGTCCTTTAATCAAGGAAAACATTTGCTCAACCAGGAATGAATGAAAGGAAGTTGAAGGGGAAAAAATGACCTGTTCAGAATTATTAACCTAATTTTCCACCTTAATTTTTAAGACAAAGTAAAAATAAACAATCATCACCTCGTATAAGTCTGTGGACTCAGTTACTCCCACTTAAACAGGGTTGCAGAAGTTGATGCTACTGGAAATTCATGCCTGTTGGGTTTATCTGCATCTGTAGCCTTCCAGAGATCTGTTCCAGGTTTCTCAATAAGCTGTGCACCCTGGGGTGCTGAGGGCATCCAAATGCTCCAGCTGGATCATCCTCAGCCATTAGCAAATAGACCCTTTGTCAGCACAGGCCAAGACCCAGTTTCAGGCCACCGTGTTGCTAACACACAAGGTGTCTGAAATGTTGAGCTGAAGTAAAAAGTTTAAAAACTTAAGAATACAATGGCCCCTCTTTTTTTTTTTTTTTTTTTTTTTTTGTCTCAAAACCTTAAGCAGTAAGGAATTCGGCCCCTTACTCTGTCATTCTAATGTAAGTTCTGTGTTTCTTGAGGTAGCTGGTCAAGACAGCTGATTTCCAGGGGCCATGTCAGCAGTTTATCTTACTTTATTGTGCACTATGCTAAGAAAAGTTTTGACTTAGTTGCTTATACACAGAAAGACTGAATTTAAATTTTAACTATTTTGGTTTAAAAATATCATTTGTCTTATGAAATAAGGCTAAAAGGTGAAGCTTCATAACTAAACATATTAAAATTACATTAGAGTATCATTCTAAGCAAATAACACTAAAGTCTGTACTGCAAATTAAGAGGTAAGGCTAAAAGTGGCCTGCTCCACCAAAGCTTAATATCTGCTACTGATGATACAAAAGCTACATGAGCAAAAACTATTGTCAAGGAAGCAAAACTCCCTTTTTTTCAGTGTGAGCCCTATGTGGGTTTTTGTGCTTTCACATGTTTCTGTTAAAGTCTTTATTAATTAAATTATAAAATTATATAACAGCAGCTCAGTCATTTTAAGAAGCACCTGTAAAATAAGTCAAAGACTGCCCTTGAATACTACAAACTTTACCAGGCTACACCATAACAAGTCAAAATACAAAAAAAAAAAAGGTGTAGTCAATTATATGTTGTCATAAACTTGTTACATTTATAGTGGTGACATAGAGCTAGATTCAGAAAAACCATACTGTAAAAGTTGTCATCATAATAAATATGTGGCGTTTGAATCAGATAAGATCCATACAGCATGACAGAAGAGTTGAGGAGTTCCACAGCCTGCCAGATTAATATCCCAGGCTCAAGTGGGATAAGGAAGTTGGTCAACAGCATCAGAAACATCACATTTGTTAAGCATATTTGCCACCACAATCTCATTGCCACTGGCTTTTCCTGTGTAGTTGTGTAAAACTCATAAAACTGTCCTTAAGTATTGACCCATTTTATTTGCCTAGTTATCCTCCTGACTCATTTTATCCTAAAATAATCAAGAATGTGTTTACCTGGCAAAACATTTCCTCAAACATTTTCTAACTGGCTAGTTAAAGATCAATGTTGAAAAGTTTGTTTTCTTCATTTCAACTCTAAGTAAGGGTTTGTTTATTCAGAAAAGACACGCAGAAAGGTTTGGTCTTATCTAGAAAGCGAGTTTGTCAAAGATTGTGCTTTTTGAAATTGTACCTGGAAGTTGTAATGGTTCCAGAGTGTTCCACTGAAATACACTTATGCTGCGAAAGAGATTCTCTGAATGAGAAGCTCTGCTCTTTCAAAAACATTTGGATTTCATTTAGGAAGTGAGATCAAAATATTTTTGCCTCGGGTTAAGTAAACTGGTACTGCAATATTTGGTTTGTGAGATAAAGTCAAAATATTAGCATCATTAAAGTGGTAACATGCAACTCTCTGGCAAAACACCTCAGCCTGCAGAGGAACTACACTTCCCACAGGTCACTGCAACGATTCAGTAATGTAAGCCAGGATGAAATATTTCAGTGTGGCTCTGCAAACAGAAATTAATTTTTATGTGAAAAACGTTAAATCACTACAGGTTAAAGACCTGAAAGGTTGTATTTGGACATTCCCTTCTGAAGGATTTTTTAAAACTTTGCTTCTGGATTTAAGTTTAACTTCTGTTATATTTTAAAGGAGATTTATTTGCAAATGCTATAATCTTCAAGAGGCAAATAAATTCTAATTTTTATAGGATTTCTAGTATCTGAATATGTTTATCATAATCCAATGAACTAAACTAGCTTAAACATAAGGTCCACTGGTTTTTCTGTCCCTAATACATATTCACAAGACTTTAACAAACTTGAAGGAATTAAGTGCGATGTTTTGTTGCCAGAGAAAAAAAAATAAATCTGCCCATTGCTTTACCTGGCAAGAGTCTTCCAGTTTCTAAATAACATTGTATTCTGCAAAAGCTTCACAGCCTAGTATTTATTTACATTTCATGGGGGGTACGTGACCAGAAAGGCAAACGAGTTGCTCTCGCTTCAGTGTCCTCACTGGGGTGAGAGGGGTTGTTCCGCCAGCACTTTGAACTTCCTTTTTGGCAGATAAAGGACCCTGCTAATAAAAATAACATAATCAGAGAAATGGTTAAGGCCTGTTCTTAGGCTGTGCGAGAAGTTTTATTGAGCACCTCAGTGCTGTGATCACCCAGGGAAAGCAGGGAGACGGAATAACTCCGGTCACTCCCAGACTGCCGCACCCAACACCTCAGTAAAAGCATGAGCTGTCACCTGCGATTTCTTAGTTATTGAACACTAGGAAAACCCATACCACACAAAAATAGCAAAACCTGCTATTTTAGCACATGAGGGTACAACGCAAACAGGTGGTGAAGACTCTGGAGAGGGCGAGGCACCATGAGAAGGTGTGAGGGGAGCCAGTGGCCCCTCAGGACATGGCGGCTCCCCCTTCCCTGCCTCTGCGGTCCCTGATTCATTCCCACTGCCAGCTCCAATACCCCAGGGGCAACGGCAGGAGTCAAAATACCTCAGAGAACTGGCAAAACCCTCCTCCTGGGCTGAGACCATGGCAGTCCTATGGAGAAGACGCAGCCTCAGGCTGTGGTGGGAACGCCAGGGCCCCAGAAGAGCGTGAGGAGATTTAGCTCTCTGACCTGGGGCACCCCGGTAAGTGCAGCGCAGCCACGGCCCGAAGAAGTGGCTTTATAAACACCCTCTTGAATCGGGGGTTTTGAAATTTAGGGCATCACAAGGAAAAAATTGGAACAGAAACAGCTGCTCAGGCCCATCATCCCTGTTACACTGGGAAACACCTCACGTTCCCCCATAGACACCGGATCCAGTCCAAGGGTAGCTCAGAGTCCTGTGCTGGGCCTGCCCACAAAGTGGAATTGATGTGGTTTAATCCAAAAAGACATAGTTTTGATTTTAAGGGAGGTCAGTTGGGTTTCATTCCAACCCTTCTGTAGATGTTCTGATCCAGAATGGAAGCTGGCATTATTTATTTTACCTCATTCCACTCTGCTTCACTTTCCTAGCTACAGCCATTGAAATTCAGAATAAAAGTGTGGAAAATTATAACTGATAGCAATAAAGAATAGAGCAGAGGTAGATACATTCTACAGATTTCTTCTATAACTTCTGGGGGTTCCTTTTCTTTTTAATTTTATTTTTTAATACCATTTCAACATTTCATTTCCCTCCCTCCCAATGCATCTTTCCCTATTACTCATCTCTAAGCTTTGCCACTCTGGTTTTTACCCTCCCCACTCCAGCATGCTCAATGGTCCAAAAGGATTTCTACCTGTTTTCACACTGCAGTATCACTGGTACCAGTGACAGCCTCATCATTTACCCTGCACTGAAAGATGGGAAAAGTTCAGTCCCTGGGTAAGCTTTCTGGCTCCTCACTCTAATAACTAGTGCCAGCAACACAATAAAATTTTATATCATTTTTATTGGATCCCTCCTAAAGAATTATAGGCAGAGCGCTGGCTTGCAGAGCAGATGTGTGAAGTTGCAGACAGAACTGCATCTGTTTCCTTTTGCCACAAATTGTTTTGTATAGATCCCTGTTGACTAGGAAATTTAACATACTGTCGCTGTACATCACATGTGTAATAAAATCATTGTTAAACAAACGCATTATCTCCTTCTACTCTCCTCCACTTATTTCTAATAACAAACTGACTTTACTTCCTCTAAATCTCCTTCCTTCTCATTCCCCAAAATCGATTTTTCTTCTAGGCCCAGTTTTCCCAGGAGCTGGGCTAGCTCCCGAAGTTTGATGCTGGCTTTCATAGCAGTCCTGGGAGTACAGTGAAGGTGGGGAAATATCAGTAAGAATCTGCTGCCTTCCACTAAATAAAAAACATATTTGTCACTATATTTCTTGTGTTTCTTGGTGGGGCTTTTTTTTGTTTTTTGATTTTTAAAAACTCAAAACCTGTTGTGTATGAGCAGAGGAGAAATAAGTCACTGACCAGATCCAAAAAAGGAATTGAAAAGAAAAGCTGTCTCAGAGCTGCAGAAAGTTGCCAGCAGTGTTTAATCTCCAGGCTGGGGTGATGCCCTGGTTTGGCTGTATGTGCTTTGCAACCTCAACCTTTCCTGGATCCAGCCAGTTTTCAGGCTGTGGAATAAACCAGCTCCCAGTTGCTGCTTAACACAGAAAACAAAGACATCTGAGAGCTCAGTGCCATTCACAGGCAAAATCAAGCTTATTTTCTCATATTCCCAGCAGAAGGAAAATGATATGATAATGTAACATAAATCCTCCAAGGTAACATATATATCTTTGGGAAATAGGTGTTTTCTGAGGGATGGGGCCACACCAGCTACAGTAGCTACTCTGCTTCTTGGCATATGGCTACACAGCAGGGTCTGTGTCTTGGAAAGCAGAAAGCCAGACTCTGCCTGCACCATCTCACACAGATATGGTGCAAAACCCTACAGGACTGCTCAGGACCACGGCTGTACATCATTCCCAAAAACAGCATCCCCTCCTGCCATCTTCACGGAGAGGCACTGCTGTACCAGTCAAATATTTGGGTACAGTGCCAAGTTGGGAATGCAGCTGACACAGACAATAATGAGGGGGAGCTGATGGGATTATGACTGAAAATCACATCAGTAATAAAAACTACAGAAGGAGTCACAAGCCCTTTAAGGGGCTCTGCCTTATTTGCATTTTCTTATGTTGCTTGGAAAACTTAATGAAGTTTATCTTCTGTCATTAAGTTAAACTAGCTCTGTGGTAGTGCTGTCAGAGCTTCACTAATTAAAAGTCAGCCTCCAAGTGCTTAAAGCTTGTCTACACTTGAAAATTAATTCGGTTTGAGGTAGCATATAAATTTAAATTGCAGCAGCCATATTCCACCTAAATTAAGATATTTATTTTGTAAGAAGGTTTCCTTTGAACTTGGCTCAAATTGAAACTGATAGAGCAGCTGCTTCTTTACCCCATCCTGAACCAAGAGATCTGTGCATAAGAAAGGATTCAGGGATATCTCTTGCTAAGTATCCCCATGCATAGACAAGACTTGGGATGGCTGACGGACAGCACTTTCTTTTCTGAGTGCTTCTCTCTGCCTTGTGCCTTACCAGCTGAGCTAAGGCTACAAACTATGTGCTAAGCTAAATTGATATATAATTATCAAATTTGTAAGGACCTGTAGTGCTCAAGCAAGGCTGCTGCTACAGTACAAAGCCTAAATATGAGAAATTAAATCTGGACTAAAATCTCTCTAAGAAAATAAAATCTTTTTATGTACAAGCAAGTTTGGAATAGAGCAAAAAGACTGCACATAAAAAAAATAATCCCAAATGTTCATTGTAGGAATACAATTATCAACCAATTTAAGAAATGGGTAGAAAATGAACATGAGGGGAATATATAAAATAAAATTCTTTTACCATCAGGGATGTTTTTCCAATTACATTCTAAGAGACCACAATAACCAAGTCATTTGGAAACATCAGGGTACCTGAAGAGCACAAAGCAAAGTTTTCAGTCTTCCTTTCTTTCATATCCTGCTCTCCCAGATGCATGTCTAAGACTGCATGTTTCCCCAGTGCTTGCCAGCAGAATAGAAACAGCACTTAACAACGTCGGTGCCAGGGAAACACATCCAAGACAAGAACTAGGGAGGACGTGGAGCAACATAACATGCACAGCTTGACCCTTGTCATAGGATCTGGATGATGTTCACAGGGTAGAATGATGCAGAAGTTTTGGAGAATGTTGAAGGAAAATGGAGAGCTATGTCTAGCAAAAAGTGTTCTTCATGTGAAAAGAAACAATTTGGCAGTCCTTGCAAGGGTGTCTGACCATTCTGCTTCATTTTTCTGACCAGGTAAAAATAACAGCATTTTCCCCCTTCTACATGGAAGGGAAAATTATGTGCACAGTGTGAATGGAAATGGACTTTACTTGCTGTTCAATACAAAACAATTTAATCATCATCTACTCTACAAAATTGCAGTCCAATTTCCTACTTGGCCACTACCTATTTTTGGTGGGAGTCCTCCAGCATCTTTTGTTAGATTTCTGCAGTGGATTCCCCCTGAGCCGTTGGCTGATGGTTCCAGCAATGCCACCTTCCTTTGACACAAGTGGGAACCTCTGCTCTGGAGGGGACACTGGTAAAACAAGAGCTACCCTCCACCTGATAATTATTTTCTCCCAAGTAATAAGAGATAGCCTCAAATTGCTCCAGGGGATGTTTAGATTGGATATTAGGAAAAATTTCTTCACTGAAAGGGTGTCAAGCACTGAAACAGGACACCCAGGGAAGTGGCTGAGTCACCACCCCTGGAGGTATTTAATAGATGTGTAGACATGGTGCTTTAGGGATGTGGTTTAGTGGTGGGCTTGAAAGTGCTGGGTTTATGGTTGGACACAATGATCTTAGAGGTATATTCTGACCTAAATGATTCTATGATTATGGTTCAATAATCCCAAAGAGAGATTTTGAACGCTAATAAACAAAGCCCTAGAAACACCACCATAACACAACCTTCACATATTCCATTATTTTCTTTTGTTCTGTCTCTACCTTCATTTTCTTATGTTTTTCTCAAATAAAATGTTTATTACCTTGGGTAGTCTTGTATGGACAGTGCCTGGGATGACCCTGGCACTGACACTGCAGGACCGCTGGACCTCCAGGAAACGATATCATCCTCTTGTGAAGGTAGGAAATCTCAGGTGGTTGTTGTCCTTACTCAAAATACAGCCACAAAAGTTTCCCATGTCATGAAATTAATTGGTGGGGGGAGGAACACCAAATACTATTGCCCTGAGGAAAACATTCAGGAGGACTCCTACATATGGCAGTACATTTGTGGGTACACATATGTGCAATTCCATGTGCAAACACTCACACAGAACAGGACCACACAGTTGCTTTCCAGCATAACCTGAAGGACAATATAGGATGCAACTGGCAATGGTCATCCAGCTGGGATGAGGTGTTCCTCCCGCTGGTATCCAACCGCTCGCTTGAAAATGAAACGCTTGGCAACAGAAATGCTCCACAGCTGGAAACCACGAACAAGTCAAAGCAAATAAACAATCCCAAAATGAGGTTTAAAGCAGAGAATAAAAATCAAACGTCATTTGAAAATGTACTAAAATTGGCTGGTGTCTAAGGGAGCGTTTAGTGGCTCAGCACTTCTCTGCTGCACTTCAGAAATTAAGGAGAGAAACAGAGAAACAGTCTCAGATGTAGCAATAAATAATGGACACTTTCAACACATAATTTGCATTTGAATTAACTAGGCTGGCTAAATTAATTCATCCATTATGAAAGGAGAATTTTACTGTCTATATTTTCAGGCTCCCTACTGTGCTAAGTTAAATGGGCACTGAGGCAAGGACTACCGGCTTCATAGAAATCGCTACTAAATAAGTTTCCTCTCAATTATTATCTAGTTCACACAGTTTGGAAGCCTGATGCCGATAAAAACAATTGTCACAGGGTCTTGCCTTTTCTCCACTGTTTGTGCTGCTGAAGGTGAACAGCAATGGCAGCACTTTAGGGTTATATAGGCCTCATTCAGAGGTTTTTTCTTGAAACATTTTTCCAGGCCTTCCTCCCCAGAAGGGCTAAATCATATAACCAAGGTTATTTTGCATTCAACACCAATTTAAATGTTTGGGAGGCCGAGGGGTGATTTCCTTGCAACACTATATGAATTCCTCCCTTGAGAAAATTTGAGATAACCTTAAAATATATAGTTGATGCAATATATGACAATACATCATTAATTATATAGCCTATAGCATCAAGAACTAACTGGAGGAAGACATAAGCTTGGGGACTTATGGAGTAATCAATATATTACACTATTCTTAATAATGCATTAACATTGTGTTTACAACTATAGACAAGTTACATTTTTCACGAGCTGCACCATCAGGATTTTCAAAACCATGCTCAAAAATGCCAAAAGCATGTGACGAAAGGGAAAAGAGAACTATTGTCATCTCCTCTTTGCAAACAAAGAGTGGCAGAGAAGGAAATCAGTTTGTAATTCAAGCCATGTCCAGGGGAAGGTCACATCCCTCTGCCCACACCACGTCAGGAAAGATAGACCACAGCAAACTCAAAGGCCACCGCAGGCTTCCCAAGGGATACACTGTGGGCTGAGGGAGAGGATCTGAGCAGCGAGGTTTTGACGGGAGCACAGTTCACCAGCAAAACCTATTTAAATTACTGACACTTTTCCCAGTGTCTGGAGAAAACTTGTTCTGCTCGGGGAACAGGAACAAGCAAGTGATGGACGGGCACCTGGCAGCACTGCCCTTTGCTAGCGAAGCTTTTAACACCTTCTCTGGAGTCAGAAGCTGTATCTGGTAGCTCAGTTCACATGGTTGGGTCAGGACAGGATGGATTTTGGCAGAACAGGGATAGTCTCCCAGAACAACTACATTGCAAAGTAGGAGGTGTGCCCGTAGCTCCCACTTTTCCAAGCTTTGTGCCCCATACCCTGGTCTACCTCCTTCCTTTCTCCAGGGAAACAACGGATTCCAGCATCACTTTTTGTTTTTCCCCCTAATTTTCTCATAACGGAAAAAAAAAAATGACGGCAGTCCTTGCTGTGCCAGAGTATTACTCCATCAGCCCACAGGGTTTCCTCACTCCACATGGACCATAACAGCAATGTGAGGAGGAAGAAGGAAGAAAACAGGAAGGCGATAAATTCATGCTGCACTCCTTGCAATGGGACTATGATCCGCCATCTGGAGAGCTCTGGCACCAAGAGCAAAGAGTTAGAAACATTTAAGCTCTTTCTTTAGATTGCCATGATGAAACAAGCTGCACGAGTCAATGCCTACTAAAAGCACCCAAATGTTTTCCACTCTCCTTCCTCACTGTCTAT